TAAAACCATCTTTATTATTATAGTAAAATAAAGTAGAAAGAGACTAGTTGTAAAAGGCACTTACTTCAGCATACCGTTGTCGGGACTCAACGGTATTGTTCTCCTTGTTATCTCCACTCGATTTGTCGCCCCGATCTAGGAAGTTGCAGTAGGAAATGCTATTTTGACTAAATATTACACCTTAAAAATACAAGGTAGCATATTAGAAACTTCTAATGTTTGAAAATCTACATTAGCATTGTCACTATACTCTATTGCTAACTTTGATATTGAATTAAATTTACTGACACAATCAAGAATACACTGACAGAAGGATTTAATCTTTTAATTGTCATTGAGGGACAGACTATAGAAGGATCACTTGATAATATACATAAAAACCTATTTATTTGGCGAAACACATAATAAATACTAATTGAATAGATAATATGTAGAAACATGTCAAGGTGTACAATGAGTCTTTCAAATCCCAAACTTATTTTGAATAAAAATCAAAACAGCTAACAGAGAGTCCCATACCCGAAAGCGAAACTATACGCAATAAACTACTAATCTATAAAGATGGACGCCTAGACCCTAAATGAAAAATACTACCCAATATTCACTGTGAAAGGAAAGTCCTTCCAGTTAAATTAAACCGAACTTATGGGAAGGCATGCAAGAATTGATTGGACAAGTTTTCATAGAAGTTTGTGAATCAGCGATATCACTTGACAAATAGGAAAACATGTAAGAAACGTATGAGGCTGATCAAATAGAAAAAGGACGTGCCATCGATGTTCAAGATGAAGAACTAATGTAAAGTGAAAGATACAAATAAAAAAGCGATTAGGATGAGCTGATCAACGCAGACTAGAAATCAAAAGTCAATTAACGGGAAAAGTCGAGCAGAAAAAGGTATATAATTGATTAAAAATTAGATAAATTAGTACAATAAACAATCCTAAATCTGTGATTAATGTTGACACGAATAAAAAATAAATGCATAACAAAAGAATTACGAACCCCTGAGCCTTCCATTGTCCAAATCCTCAATTCCAACTTCTAGAACACTTTCATACATCTCGAGTTGGGCTCTAGGTACACAATAAAGCAAAATATAAAAGCGTTTTAGAAGACAGTCCAAAATTAAATTAAAAATACTTTAATTTGGAGAGCTTTTTCTTAAGTTGAACATCCTGCTTAGAAGACTCCGTCACAAGTTTTTGTTGTTTGTGTTCAATATCCCTGACTTTATTTTCCAAAGTCTCACATTCGTATTGCTTATTTTTGCATTCAAATCGTAATTTGTCTAGGAGCTCTTCAATACCATCAGTAGCTGTTGCGATTGAGGCAGACACCTTTTCTTGATGCTCTTTAGCTACACAAAGATGTACGAAATACAAATCGAAATATGAACACACTTTAAAAAAATTATGCAATACATTAGTTTTGGCTTATAGACGTTGAAAAGAGTCAAATAAAATGTTCATACCAAGGGCCAATTTTTCAATACGCTTTAAGATTTGATTGTTGCATTTATTGGGATCTTTAGGTATGGCCTTCGATGTCATTTCAGCTAATTCCTCGAAGTTATCCGTCATTTGAACCACAAGATCTAAAAGTGATATGATAAAATATTTGAGCCAATTCCGAAAGAGGATAAAGAACAAAGTTTTGAAACGGAAAACTCACTTTATATAAAAAACAGATCCTTTTCACTAACCCACCAGAAGAATTCAGTAAGTTCTTGATCGATTAAAAGAGATTTCTAAGATAACTTAATTTTATATTTAATTTATAAAACAAATACGTTTCCCTGAAAAAAATTGTTTTTTCTTCGTAAGAGAACTATTATTTTTTCTTTTTGATATGAAATTTGAAACTCAAATTGAATATATATGATTCTCATGTGATTCTGTTCATAATATTGAGTTATTGTAAATTCTGAACAATTACCTGAGTTCCTCTAATAATTTTTAATTATAATGAAAGGTGATATACTAGGCTTTGTTCAATGAAATTACATAATCTAATAATTGACATTTGCTGATGGACTTACTACTAATATACAAGGCTAAATTTGAGCTAATCGGCAGTTGAAGGAAAAATACATTTTTCATCAAATAGCATGAAAGATAATATCCACACTTATAACCCCATATTAATGGATTAATATCTTCAAAAGTATATAGTGACACAGAACATGCATTCGAAATTGTAATGAACTGCGCACTTAAGTGAGTAATAAAGATTAAATTTTGAAACCAAAAGGGGACCTAACTGATAAAGCTTACAATTTGGCGGCAAACAATAATACAAAGAGCAATATAATACCCATTTTAAATGTATTCGGAACATTCTGAGAGAAATGGCATTTCCAACCTTCATCAGAGGTGTTTTCTCTATTTACTAACCTGGATAGTTGCTATTTTAAAGAAAGGCTTCAAATAATATTGAATGCAATTCCATCTTCTTCAGTTATTCTCGAATACTTACTATTAGACGTACATATTTTGCAGAAGTTATTTGTAATAATGGGCAGTAATCATAAACAATGAACCATGATATTCATCAGATACAACAAAATCAGATATGATCATAGAATAGCTCTAAAATTATATATTTTGCGTTAAATGTCCGACAAAGTAGTGTAGAAAAAATTTAAGACAAATATTTCATATGACAGTTTCTTGAACTTGAATAACTGTAAATTTTTGCATTTACTAATCACTTTTCCATCAATTGCACTGAATTTCAGTTCACAACCTAACTTTTTTATAAAGTTTTATGAATATTTCATCATGATATCTAAGATTTTCTGATCAAATACACCTCAGTATTAATAATTTTTATTCTAAATTTACTTGCTAGCTCTTTATGAAATAAGTATATTAGTTTTTAAATTTCAATTTTTTAGGAATTCAAGAATATTGTGCAAATATGATATTTTACGAAACCAATTCTCTTTGCATAAGCATCAGAGGTCATTCAATTATGCTAGCTGCACGTTTTTTTCTACCTTTATAAACAGGATGGGAGGCAAAGATATATACACGGGAGTTGATATTCATGATTTTTTTGTAAATGACAGATGTGTTGCGTGGAAATGGAAGCAATTAGTTGTGGGAACCTTTCGCCATCTCCGAATTGATAGTAATATTTGCACACATTATTCAATTTATAGATGTAATGATTGAAACGCAGTACATTCTGAGTGTTAAATGCCTTGAAGTATCAAAAACGTGTTGTAACGTTGATGTTTCCCATCACCAACAGGATAAAATTGGCTTAGTTATTCGATCGATCGACAGATCCTGTGATGGCATCTGGAAAATCCAAACCTGGAATTTAATTTGCGATCCCGATAATGTGCACGCTTATTACAACGAAATAAAGCTCTTCAGAAAACTCTGGTGCAAGTTTACCCTTGGGTTTAGTTAACTTTGCTTTAAATCTTTGATTAAAATATGGATGGATTTATTTTCTAGGCCCTAATCGTCCCCAATCGTTATTAGTTTTTATCAATCCTTACGGTGGCAAACGAAAAGCTGAAATAATTTACTATTCCAACGTCCGACCTATATTTGATTTGGCAGGCATTCGCTCTAAAGTTATTTGCAAGTTGCTAACCAATTGTTTCAATATCATCTCGCTGAGCTGAAGTTATCTTTCACAGTTTGCTCTTTCCTACAGTAACAACCCACAGGAATCATTGTCAGGAATATATTCTCAATGAGGATCTTAGTTCATATGATGGGTATGTGCCCAAAATTCTTAAACTATTTTGAATATTGTGGCTAAATCAGTCATAATTACACTCAATACTGGTTTAACTAGCAAGGTTGGACTTTTCTCTTTTTTATTTGTATATACGGTGTATGCACTGTTTATCCATTGATCAAGCCGTGTTTAAAAACATTTTAATAATTACCTTTAACTCTCCTTTTATTGTCATTCTAATTTGGAACACCTTTTAAAGCATCACGACTCCAAATATGAAGCGTCCAAATCACATGTTTATCTTGTAACTCATGTTTTGTTATATCTTAAGTTAAGTTAAAGCAGATCTATTTACGAATAATATCGGGTAAATCTCGTTTAATGTGATATCCGCATCTTTCATCTTTATTTGAGTTTGATACATTGGCAAACTGTTCATGATTTGTACTCTATTCGTCTCCATTGTTTGCAAAAATCTCTTTTCCTTTCAATTGAAATGTCACTCATCATACCTACAGTGGTGTCGAGAGTTGATGGCTCTTGTTTTGACTTGATTATTATACCTTGTCTTAGCTGGAGGACTCCTTGAATGTCTCTGATACTGTCCAATTTTTTAGCTGTCATAGGCCATCAGTTAAAGCTGTGTTAACAGGCCACAGCAGAAGTGTAGACCCACATTTCTATCCTTCCTAAAGGAAATACTTAGCTTATCCTTTGCATTCTAATTCCAGACATTGGAAATGTAAGTTAAGAGGCCATGGGATGCGGGTTCAAGCACTCATTCCTATGAGTTTGCACTTGCCCAATCTAAACACCTTAACAGTAGGAGACTGTATAAATAAATGCTGTTACAAATAGCATACCATAGGAGAGCATTTTGTAATGCTCATTATGAGTGAGCTACTCTAGTGAACTTTTATGCTTCACAAAGACTCCACCCATACCACTTAACTAAATTAAATAATGCGGTATTGTTAATAATATGAATAACTCTGCTGGAGTTTAATTTCGCTCATTTCGTTGTTAAATCATAGCTTTCTTCTGTTAAATGATTACCCATTAAAAGAACAGGAAAAATCCAATATTAACGAGAGTGGAAAAACCGCATTATGCCAGTTTTATGGGCTCTTTTCTTATTTTGGATGCAAATTCCCCACACCCCCCCCCCATTCTTTGAATCATGCAATTGTCTTGTGGCTTTCTGTTATTTGCTAGCCATGGCTGCCAACCGTTTACGCAAAATCGAATCCACTTATTTTTTGCATTTCGATCAGTATGCATGTTTACAAGGTGATCAAGCACACGTTACGTATAGACGTATGCACATTCCTTGAACTTCAAGGTCAAATTCACTAGAATGCGATTTTCTCATCAGATGAGGCGTCGCCTCAATGAATTTATTCGAAAGTTATGACTTTCCACAAGCTAGCACATTTATGCATGAGCTCTCAAATACATGGATTTAGGGGAGGTTGGGAGGGGGGGGGGGGGGGGTGGAAGGCAGAAGGAAATCAGAGGGAATCCAACTCCCTTTGTTGTTTATAAAGAAGGGACTTCAGAAACAAGGTTAAAATTTGTTTTAAAAGACTAATGAGTGATCGACAAAAGTCAGTAGTCAATGTCTTTTAAATTTTCTGCTATCTCATTAATCTGCTTGTTCGTTTTTTTAGAGTTGTATGCGTAGGTGGAGATGGTTTGTTCTCAGAACTCCTGCTGGGTCTACTTTATCGAACTCGCAAAGAGGCCAAATTGCCGCTCTACGATAATCACAAACCATTCACCACTGAACTATCTCCTCGCTTGAAAATAGGGCTTATTCCTGCCGGTGAGTAATACCACTTTCCATTTATACTCATCGTTACGTTGCCTTACTATCCACCGATTAAATATATATATATTTATATCAAATGGCAGGCATCTTGATGGTTATCATTAGCCCTTTAGTTGCCTTCAGGCTTCAGAGAGGGGAAGGAACATCAACTTGAAAAAGTCGAGAGGGGGAAGAGAGGAGTGTTTCAAAGATGTAAGTGACGAATACAAAGGTAGAACAAAGGTGAGGTGAGTATTGCGGAAATAGTCGAATATGGCATAGAGTGGGGGTGATGTAGTTTGAAGTGAGAAGTCAACTGGCAGTTAATAGACTTTTTTGCCGTATGAGTATACGTTGCCCAGGGTGCACCACGTGGAGGTAAGTCTATCGCACACCCCACTATATATATATATATATATATATAATCCGTGGTTTCACCCAATTTTTTTTGTTTTTTTTATGCTTAGGTAAATATTGTAATCGATGAGATTGGGGGATAATTTAAGAAAATGCCTTCGGAATTTCATTAACGTTTAAGTCTCATCTACAGAAGTCGAGTTTAAAGGTTGGCGAAATACCTTCTTTATTTGACGAATAAAACTCCCCAATTATTTGAATTAGACTCGAAAAATCACTGAGTATCCTTTCCAAAGAGATCCCGGAAAAATTCTAATCTAATATAGATGAAAACCTTTTTCCAAGGTGGTTTTCGGAGTTTCTATTTCTACAAGTTCAGCTGGCTTCAAATAATAAAATGGAATTAATAGTAGTTTTCAGTGATGTGTTATTCATTACACAATAGGCAAAGATGGGGATCATTTGAACAAATTTTCATTTTGAATTTCATTCCTATATCATGGAGGAAGTTGCTTAAACGCCTATTGTATTTCGACTTGGTAAATAGCTCACTTGGTTATTTGTGACACTTTTGCTAAAGAAATGGGAAATTCGCCCTTTTGGGGGGGGGGGTCTATCTCTAATAATTTGTTGTGCATATAATTTCAGTAATCTATTTACTTCATTTTAGGTTCAACTAACGCAGTAGTTCGGTCTTTGCATGGAACAGAGGATGTAGAAACTGCTGCAATCCACATTGCTTTGGGTGAATATTAATATATATCTTTATATTTTATTTATAATCGAAGATTCGTAAGTACCTATTGTACACAAACGTAGTTTGTGGTTTTGTGCGTATTTCCTGTGATGCCATATCACATGATTTGCCAATCGAAACCCAAAACACCTTTCTAATTGATTGATGAATCTTCTAATTGAAGCCCTATTTGAGTGTGGGAATATCTCGTTTGTAATGGCCCTATTATCGTTAAAATTCTTTCCCTTATTACATTTTATGTTAGAGTTGAAGGTCAGGTAAGTGGATTCATCCTTGAGACTTGCTTAAACGCCAACTTCAAACTTCGGTAGAAATTGATTGAAGACCAACATTTGATTTCAAAAAATCACTTAATTTAATGATTGACCATCATCGTAACTTGCGGAGTTTTTTTCTCAAACTGGTCTTACCAAGCATTGATCTGCATTTCTCTGACCTCTCCACGCTTTACCATAGAACTTGTTGCTTTGATGTGTTGATGGCAGATCTCGATGACCTTTGCAGCGTTCTGGAAAATGCGCTTCTACGATGATGAGTTATCATCATGTTTACTTACTCACAACTGATTTTCGAACTCAGTGGTGTCTCCATCGTTGCTAAGCGTTGGTACTCATTTGAAGATCTGCAGATTTTTAATTTTGAGCCTCTTTCCACTGACTTTATGAGCTAGAGTAGAAAATGAAAGCAGGCGTACGATTTATTTCCCTTTTTTCAATTTCATTTTTATAGTTCAAAACGCATTCAAATACAATGATATTTGTTGAACTTCTAGTGGTTACTGACTAGTCTCCCCCAAGATAGCCACAAACCAAGAACTCGATGAAAACACGTAAATGGCCCCAAAGGTGGGCTTTATTTTGCTATTGCTCAAGGCAATGACCTTGTTATTTATCATATTTTAAGAAATTGGCAAATTTAATAAATGGTTACTTTGATTCTTATGCAGTCTTATTCAATGCAAGATATGGTAGCTAATGTCTTTTACAATCGACTTTCTATTTTGCTCAGGATATTCACCATCTCCAGTATGATACGAAATGCACATTCATCTTTGAAATTTCATGTTATGGCCTCACCGGTACGCGGTGTGGCAGATTTACATCAGTGAAAAAGCTACACTATCTCTTGATTTTGTCCCGGTTTCCGTATTATTTCAACACTGCTAGTACCCTAGCTGTTTCGTTCGATTTTTTGATCGAAGTACATTGGTCTTGCAAAAAACATCCTCGATTTGCTTTAATGAATTCCCTCACCAGCACTTTGCATCGGAATTGGACTAGCCCACATCATTCCTCGCCGATTTAAATGTGGTTAATAATGAGGGGAGCGGAAGTTCTCAGTAGGGCGGTGACTCTATTTGAGGTATATTGAAGGTGATATTATCTAGTTTTTACATCAAATCCTCTTTAAGAAAAGGACTCAAGCTGAGTTATCTTCAAAGGTGTGTTTATAATCCCCAAAATTCAAACACCGTTCTCACTCTATTAATAACAATATTATTGCTTCATAATAAGGAAATATTTCTTACTGCCTTTCAATGGTTTCAGGACTTGATATTGGAGTCGATGTGCTTGGGGTTCATGACGCCTCTACCGAGGGATTCCTTCGTTACATAGTCACTCTTCTAGGCTATGGTTTCCATGGTGACCTTCTCGATCCCAGCGAGAGAATGCGATTTCTTGGTCCTACGCGTTATGATATAGCTGGTGAGTTCCTTGATGTAATAAATATTCGAGTTCGGTTTAGATTGCGCATAACTGCTCTATCTATGTGTTAACTATGCGTTTTCATGAAGGCGAACGATTTGATAGGTATGGATTACGAACCTCATCAGCAGCGGATAACAGTTTTTATTGTGTACTATCACAGGAATGGAACGTATTTCTTCGTTTTACTATTTGAGTAGTGTAGACTATATGTTCTCGAGTTTTTACTCACAATGGTCCTTAAGTGAAGGGCGTTTTTTTTTCCGAGGATAGGTGATAAATAAGTTGGATTATTACAGTCTCTCTAAACCAATTTACTCTGATCCATCAAACCGGTTGCGAAGCCTCAAGTTGTTGTGGTTGACCTTTTTTGTACTTGGAAAGTAAAATCATCTGGGTGATTAATATTTGGTATTTTTCAAATATCGTTTTATTTCTTCAATAAAATGCTTAAAAAGCCAATTCAATCTTTTGGAGTAAAAGATTTATGAGATTGCAAATAAAGGGCTTTAAGTCCTACCCATATCATGATAACTTAGCCGATTACTTGTACAACTATAATTAGTTTCTGTAGTATCCGAGTAGTTTGAATGCAGAAATTAATTTGGCCGCAGATACTTAAAGATATATGCTTCCTCCTCCCCCCCCCCCCCCACCCCACCCCACCCCTCATATTGATCTATTATTTGAACTTGTGAACTTCTCTAATCAAATAATCAGCAATTTGATTAGCTTTTTCTTCTTTAGCGATAAGCCGTTACTTTTGTTCTTAAAAAGGAATCCGGGCCATTTATATATAAGCCTTTTTAAGTGACATTCGTTTCTAATGAAGATGTTATTACATATTGTTTCCTTCTAGGTGCATGGAGGTGGCTAATATCATCCTCCTACCGGGCTCGGATAACTTATTTACCTTCGACTGATTCCACACCTGCAGATAGCAACGTTTGTGGCGCTATGTAAGTGTCAAATTTTTATTTATATCAAATAGCAGACTTTATGATTGTTATCGTTAGTCCTTTTGTTGGCCGCGGGCTTCACAGAGGGGAGAAAAATCAAAGTCACAAAAAGCCGAGAGTAATTCATAAATGTAAAAGAGACAGACACAAAGGTAGAGAAAAGGTGAGGTGAGTACTGTGAAAGTGGGCCAATGTGATATGCAGTGGGGTCATTGTATTTTGAAGTCAGAAGTCAACTGCCGGTTTATAGACTTTTTTCCGTATGAGTACACACTACTCATGGTATACCACGTTGAGGTAAGCCTACCTTGCTCCCCAATTTAATTTTGGATTACATTTAGTCACTTTCGTCTTTAAACTGATTTGAAGTATCTAGTTGAGAGAAGCAGTAATCTATGAACTGGTTGCTACTATTATTTATGCTTTCACAGAATTCCGCCATTCTAGTGTAACTAACTAACTGTGACAATGAAGTTGCCAAACCTATTTATCATCTTCGCATCTGTCTTGTATAGCTTCATCTATGTGTTGTTCAATGTTTCTTCATACAGGTGTCCAATCTGCTTAAAGCAGGAAATAGAAAGTGGAGAAGCTGGGACCAACGCACTAGACGTCAACCAAACACATCAGCCTCCCGCTAATTTAATAGAACCACCGAGTCTCCAACCTTCACATCGGTCTGATCCCCCACAGAGCGATTGTAAGTCTATTGCCTATGTCTTTGTTCTTTCAAGTACTACTGAAAATGACTCTTTGGCCTTGGATGGCATTTAATCGTGTGGGGTTTTTTTTATTTATCTCCCCTCTCGACTCAGAGTCCATGCATTGGGTTATTTGTGTTGCAGAAATAAAGTTAATTAAGGGCGAAATTGGGTCACCTGTTGCCCTGCTCCTTTACCTCCAACTGCTAAACAGTTTCGATAGGTCATATGATTGATTACGTTTAGTTTTTTTCACATTGGCGATTGTAATAATCGTGTATCTGTGCAGGAATTCTGATTTGGATTAGTAATCAGAGTCAATGAAACTATACGGTGATTGGTTCATAGGCTCTAATAATTGCCTGATTTCTATAAAAGCTTTAATTTGAGGGACATTATGACCCCAGACTCTATTGAGCCTATTGTGAACCGAAATGATTATGGTAAAATATGCAATGGTTTCCCTTCAATGTCATCAACCAAAATACGGAAAAACCCGATGCATAAATCGTGCCTTAGTGTATCACCTTCATATGTGAGCTAAGTTTCGAAGGGTATATAAAGCACTGGCCGCAGAGTTCGTAAGTATGGTTTCCCATATCTGCAAAAAAACAGTTAACATGAGTAGTTAACCAGCCATGATTGTTAAGACCATTGTTAAGTCGTCACTTATATAAACTGGACGTCAACTGCTCTATATTCCTTGGTGCCCTTTGAAATTAAGTGGAAGACAGAGGCCCTGAAAAGTCTTCAACAAAAAATCTACTTAAGAAGGCACAGACGTGTCTCTATAACTTGTGGTAATTGAGGATGGGTTTTTAGTCTTTTTGGCTAATAAGGCTGTAGTTCCATTCTCACGCATAAAGTGTAGCAAGCCAATAAATGATAGACCACTGTTTGGTGAACACGTTCGACTTAGGTTAGGGAACATGTGATTCGGCTTTTTATCGAAGTATTATGCCTTATTTGTTATGGGGTAAGATAATGCCAAAACTCACGTTGAAATTAAGACGTGTGATCAGTTAAAATTCTGTCAATTAGTGCTGAACCGACTAGAGTAGATAATTGTTTATTATTAAGTTCAAGGTAAATGCGAACTCTTATTTCGGTTATTTGGTTTAGTAAATACGCATGCAGTAACATGACTGAGGCTTACCATACCCTTTTTACATAATTTAATTTCTTCCTGCTCGACCAATTCCTTCTGACTTTGTGATCAAAGCTGGGCTTCTGCCATCATTTTTGAAGTTTCCCAATAAAAAAACTTTTTTTCACTTGATTTGGAATGTACAGTGATTCTGCAGCTGACCTTAGTGAAAAACAAGACCTCGATGTGTAGGTAAATCCTAGTGGTGGATTTTTGCCTAGTGAATGTGTAAAAAGATTGGTTAATTGTAGAGAGTACACTAGAACGAAGATTCTTAAATCCCTAATGGAACATTTTCTCATATCATCAATTCCCGATAAGTCTGTATTCCTTTCTCTGTAACTCAGCGTTTGAGATGCACTTTGAATACTGTCAATTTCAGCCACAAAGTAGTGTATCTTAGTCTATCGAACAGAGTGAAAGATTTATTCGGATTGAAATGACACGCAAGTGTTTTATTACTACACAGACAGTAACTAATGACATCTTGGTCTCGTGGTTTGTTCATCAACTGATCACGCTGGACCTACGAGTACTAGGATTATAGTTTTGGTAGAACTTTTATAACTTCTCATTTACTATTTTAATCTTCATCTACTCATATCTCTTGAAAGGTCGAGAATTTTTAACTCAAGCGACCGTTTTCTTATTGAGTATAAGTAATTTACCTTTACATAGGGTTGAGAGTGGGAATCCAATAATCAATCACCTTCTGCACGAACAATGAAGGTTGTTAGCCCCACTACTCGATTAGAGGCGTCGCCCAACTCTGCACAATTCATATTGATGGAATACGCCCTAACTCGGGTTGTGGAGTTGTTACGAGGCCTAATCGAATATTATCGTTACGCTCGATTGCGATTATGCAATAAACATTAAAACACATTAATAATAAATTAGCACCCTTTATGAATTCTTCTGTGCCTCCTATCTTTCTCTCCTCTTAGGCTGTCTTTTTACTCATCATAAAAAAGTTATAAGTGGAGGCGGTCTCACTAATACGAATACTAAATGCCCATATCTCCCGTTCTCTCAATACGTTATAACTTTTTTTTAAATAGTGGCCGAGATTTGTTAAGATTATTAACTTAACGTCATAAAAATAGTTTCAATATCTATTACTTATTTAATTAATTAATTATTATTTGAATAATGTGAAGGTCGGGGTAGCCTAGAGCTGTTTATTCTAGGATAAGCTGCCTGTATTGTTGATCAAAATCAATTAATGCGGCCAGCCATACTCATCATTAGTTGCTCACCGATAAACATTGATGTCATAACTTCTACCTCATCCAGTCCACGTATACCATTGCACCACGGTTGAATAGTTAAAACTTAAAACTACCTCTAATAAACGTCTTCGAGTCAAATTCCATTGATTTTTTTTACCTGAGTCAGCATCTTGATTTTCTTCTGTTAGATATGTGGGTGCCAGAGTCACATGCATCAGTTTTATTAAAAATTAAAATCTACAGTAGACACCATAGTATCCAAATTATAAAGCCAATTTACGGGTGTGTGTGTGTGTAAGTGTTTGTAAGAAACAGGTAAATCAGTGGACCATAGCGAGTGAAAAGAGTCAATATGCTCTATGATTTCCATGGGCAGTGATTGGGCTCAAATGTAAAATTATTATGCATCAAAGGTATTTAAATTGGCACGCTGTTCAAGGAAATGACTTTGAGAAGCGTGATGAGAGTAATCATTTATATGTCCTGAACAAATTAATGACTGAAAAAAGTTGCTATATGATATTGAAATTTACCATTCTTCTTTGCAGCCTGCAGTGAACCTGAAGTGAATGGAGCACGCGACCTAGTGCGCAATGCTGAGCACCCAGATGAATGGCATACAGCCTCTGGCGAGTTTGTTGCCGTCAATGCCTTCCTAATCTCCTGTCGTTGCGCCAAGTCGCCCTTAGGACCAGCCCCATCTGCTCATCTGGGAGACGGTCACCTCGATCTTATCCTTGTACGTCGTTGCTCAAGGTGGCAGTTCCTCTCCTACTTATCTCAACTTACCAACAAACGCAAAGATAGGTCCACTCGTCACCTTAAAATGCCCTTTGTGGAGGCGCATAGAGTGAAGGCTTTTAGATTACAGGCGTTGGATGACCATGGCGATCCAATTAATAACGAGGAGATTGGGGCTCAGAAAGTCTCTGTGTGGAGTGTAGATGGAGAGGTTTTGAAGGTCCCGAATGTCATCTGTTGGTAAGGTGCTGGTGTGTTTGATTATTATTATTACTACTACTGAGAAGGGTTGGAATTTCCTGGGTCCAATGTCCTTGTGCATTACTTACCTTGAAATATTTGCTTAGATTATTAAAAAGACAACTGGCTTATCTCATTTTTTGGATTAAATTGAGGAAACCAGTAAAGTTAGTCATATTGCCAGAATAACGATGACGCAGTATTTACCAAGACAAGTCTATCGCACCTCTCCTTTCAGAGGTGTAGTCACAAAGTGGTCAAAAGGTTTATTATCCTACATTTTATTGTCATTTAAAAGTTGCTATTCCTCCAGATTAGTGGCTTGCCAACATTCCGATCAGTGTGGCATGCTAATTCTTCTCGGTGAGATAGAAGCATCTTTAAATTAAGACGCGAGAAGCTAAATTTGCAAGTTGAAGTACTCTCAAAGTTAATTCTTCCTCGATTATGATGAATCAGGATATGCTTATTAGATAAGGCTAGCAGACACGTTCCTTAAAACTTCCTTAATTCACTACATTGTTTATTTATACTCATAATGAGTGAGTTCTATTATATTTAAACTCCTCTTGCCATGTAATTCTCTCTTCCTATAGTATCCACAAAAGATCGAGTTAAGACAGCTTTTAAAAATGTTGAAACTTTCAATACGAAAATGGCTTCGTTTGCAAAGTTATTCAAGCATTATTATGTTAATGATTTAAACGTTATTTTCCCTACAGAACTGAAGGTAAAAAGGGGGGGGGGTGGATTATTTGATTGTTTCAATTTCCTTGCTAATATCTTGTGATATCTTGTGCACAACTTCTATAATCTCTTCGTTTTCTTTTGATTTCAGTGTTCATCGTCAGCTGATTCGGCTGTATGGAAGAGGTCCCGAGATTTGATCATCTCATTGTAAATTTTTTTAAAGCACGTCCACATTGGCTGTGTCACTGTCTCTCTCACTCTACTTTGTGTCAATTGGGTCCATTTTTTCCCCTTTCTAATCACCTGGTTCATTCGCTGGTTGAATGAATGCTTCGTAATTTCTCATTGTGTCTGTGTTTATAAAAAAAGCATACAAACTTTTTTTATAATTCACAAAACTCGTAGTGACTATATGTGTGCGGACGTATATAACTTATTAAAATAACCTCTATTTGCGGTTTAATTAATGAGAGTGGCAATTACCAAAACTTGACTCTTCCTTCTTATCTATGCCTATTTTTTTAGGTAAACAGGGATCTAGAATGTGTCATGTACGAGAGAGTAGCAAATTTAATAACTACACAATCGAATCGAAGCATCTATTCTTATTACCTAGGAGTCATAGTTTACGTCAAGGTATGCATTAATAGTCAAATATTTGCTGAAAATACTTTTCAGGGATGGATAATTTAGAATATTGAGAGATGGCAATGACTTCTGATAATTATGAGTCTAAAATTAAAAATATAATACCTTGAGCTTAGACTGTCTGAATCGTAGTTGGCACTTAAGGAATTATGGCCAATGACTGCCAAAATGGGGGCAACTAGTGAATTTAACCAAGTCGCCGAATCTAAAGCTACAGCTGAAAACAGTCTCAAAAGTATAGAGAACACAAAGGCTTTTGGACAAAGTGCATTTGGTAGATCACGATGAGATATCGAGAGAAAGGCATATGAGCTGCTAGCTGAAAAGTGTGCGCTTTCACGCGGAATGGGGCGTCATAAAAAATAAGAAGAAACAGTGAATTCGTTTGGACCCGAGAGATAGAGTTTTAAGTCGTAAAGGCACAAATCAACGTATATTCATAAGAGGAGTGACCAGATAAAGTTTGTAAAAACATAGATTGACCTCCATTATCTATTTAGTTGAAAATACTTTTTGGGCTGAACTGTGTTAAATACTTTCCAACTTATGCATACAGACACGAAAAGTTTTATCTTCAAGTTAATAAGACTTGTACTAAATGCATTTAAAAGTAGCGTGTTATATTGTAGCTCATAATTTTAAAGGGGGAGGGGAGGAGATGAAGAGGAATATAAGAAAGATTCAAGAGATTATGGGGAATACAACGTTAGCGAGGCAGAAGCAAAGAAGCACTTTCGATCTCATTCATTCTGAAAAGTTGCGAACGCGGTGTCGATTACTCTAGGGAGCAAATGAGGCCACGAGTGCAGAGGCTCCTCCACTAATCAATAAGCAAAGTCATTAAGTTGTTATCATACCTGAAAGCGTATATAATGACTGGGCTCTCTGTCCGTCAACGCACAACCCAGCGGTCAGGGCACGACCGATACACCCCCCACCCCCCTATAGCGAGGCCGAAGTATCTTCGGGTAGGGATTGTAGTGGTGGGGGGGGGGGGGGGGGGGGGGGGAAGGGAAGGGTGATGCAGGATCTTCGGCTGTTGGGGTTGTAGGACTGGACAGGTATTTCTGAACTGCGGGCTTCGGTTTAGGAGACTCCAAGTAAGCCGGTTTTATACGGTCGATACTGTCGGAGTCCTTGATGCCGTTGCGGTCAAGAATGAAATATTTTGGCTTGCGTTTGAGGACTTTGTAAGGTCCTTCGTACGGTGGTTGTAGGGGTCTTTTCACTGAATCCACTCGAACGAAAACGAACGGACTTGTAAACAAATCTTTATGGTATTTAAACGTCTCGGAAATGGTCTTTTAACCGGGCGGAATAGGATAATGGGTCTACGGGAGTATGTTTTTGGAAGTTGCTCGGACCCCAGGACTTGCAGGTCGAGCGAGGGTACGATGAGTTGGTTTAATTCCATACTCGACATTGCATCGGCAACTACATTGCCAGTGCCGTCAAAACTTCAGCTGCCCCTGATACAGTTGACCTCACGGGGCAGTTTTGAGAATTGGAGACACTTATGTCATCCCACATCGGGCGCCCTTTTCCACTTAGAAGGCGTCGGAGTCCATCAGTGCACGATGACACCATTTGTTACTATCATCGAATCTATGGGGACAGAGCCAGGAGATGTAAGCCTGGATGTTTATACGTGAAAACCAAAGCACGTAGCCCGTCGGGAAAATCCCACGTTAAGCAGTAAAGGCGACGACTGAGCCTGGCCATTTCCACAGTCGCCTCTTATGTGTTAGACAGGAATTCTAAACTTAGGTTCGTGGTTGACACTGGCTCCGAGGTCAGCGTTATTCCTCGGTCCGCAGAAAAACGCTGCCGGCAAGCAACTTCATAGCCCTGCTATGAAGGAAAAAGACGTACAGCAAGGAACACGTTTATTCATTAAGTATATTATGGACAAAGTGTACAAGCAGGGAGCTTAATCATGATCAGGATGGCGGATTAGGTTAAACAAACGGAGGCCACTGGCGTGCAAGCATGCGATGGCGCGTTAAGAGAGACGTGTCCCACACCCCAAAAATCTTAACTTTATTCGATAAACTTATTCCACTTATACATCTGTTTTTATACGGCTTTACAATAGCTTAGTTACCATTTCAAACTATAAAAACTTGCCATAGGGAATACTGAGCATAAGTCAACGCTTATTAGTGAGACAATTTGCTATAAAACGGAGAACTCACTCTGGTGCGTTAATGGTATAGGTATGATTATTTTGGTTAATTAACACAAACTGAACCATAGTTGAAAACAATATTTCATTGCATAATTTTGAAAATTCTGATTTTGTGATAATACTTTATATGATTTTCATTTTACCTTACATACTTTAATTGTTTATTATTTCTATATCAGGGCAATTTCTACATTTTGGCATCAAGTATGCAGAAGATTTTTGAAGCAATTAGTTTTAATGACATGTAATAATTTGGGATATTTTTAATTCTTTGTGCTATAATTGGTAGAAGGCATATTATATCAGGTTCCTGCTCACTAAATCGTCAAGTTATATTGCCTGTAGTCTGAGACGCATTCTTATTATTTGAATAAGCAATATACCGTGTTGCAAAGTAATTGATGAAATTTAAACGTTTACCATTTGTTGTGGATCAAAATGTTTCATTCATTTTTAATAAAGACATGGTTTTAATATCTTAAATACAGACATTTCGTAGATAATAAGCTTTCATATGCAAAAATACTCGGAGATTAAGTTTTCTAAAATCCACATTATTTAAAAAGTCATTTCAGTATATCAATGGTACTTTTGAGTAGAAGTAACACGTGTATTTTGACAGATGCGTTCTCTTTTATCAACATTTATGGAAGATTTGTCCTAAATAAATCTCAACTACTATGATAACTTTATAAATTTCTACAAAACAAACTATTGGCAGAAAAATCATGTGTAATGAAAACAGGCTAAGAATATTAAAATTTTATTGGCATGAATTCACTCATCCTTTAAATATTAAATAATTTAGTCAACCATTACTAAATGCATTAAAATAATATCCATTTATTATATTTATAAATGTTATCTGGAATCGTATCACTGTAAGATTATTTCTATAATTTGAATACCTTTTTAATGGTAAAATATTTACTATTCACTTTGCGTAGCGATTTCACCAGAGTAACCCAAAGGGCGATTTTATGAATTGCCAATGTGATGACTGAATCTGGTAAATAATGATCGAAATAGTATTTAAGTATTTGATTTCCTCTTCAATGAATTAAATTTTTAATAATATAATATAAACGGATTTTAAAAATATACTCTATAAGCACTTGCTTTATTAATGCAAATTGTTAAGATACTTACCTATTTTAAATTAAGAGCCTAAAACGAAAAGCTATAAACGGTCACTTTATTTGGCAGTGTCGTTTTATTCTTACCCGGGTTAGTTACTATTGTGTAAATGCAGCCTAAAAGGTCTTTGAGGAATAAGCTACTTTTCTCAAAATTAGCCGTATACACTAATATTGCACTCATTTTTCGTCAAATTAGAACGTTAAACAGGGTAGACAGTTTGGTTAGTTTGGGAATCGTGTTTTAATTTTTTTATATTTTATGGCTGCTGGGTTTTCAATTACAATTCATTAAGCTTTAGACGAAATTTCCCACAAGGGAGATATTGTGCTTGGTCCACATGATGAATTTATCGGAATAGAGTCAGATGGAGAAGCCTATAAAGATGCGTTAAAATACGAGAGCTTTGATGAAATTCCTGATGTTGAAATTATGCCTCCACTTTCCAGTGTGGACAAACAGTTTCAAAATCGCGTCTTCCTAACTGGCTTTAAAACTGATTCCTGGACAGAGGAGCACTCAATATATATACTGACAGAATTTGTTCCAGCAAATGGTGCAGATGTAATTTTTTGTGCTATTCAGCCTAACGGAAATCTTTATATTGGGTCCTCCATTCCAACCTTTTTATTCCAAGATCTAAATTATTTTATGCGAACTCGAGAAGGCATGAATGTTGAGATTACTTCTTCGAATTTCAACCGAACTGTACAAAATGGATCTGTCTTGGGTCAGGGAATGGAAAGCCTGCTTCGAATTATGACGGGCATATACGCACCAACATTTTTTACAGATAGATCCTGGCCTGACAGTATAAAAAACGACTTTGCTCTACAACTACATCGCTTTATGTCTGCGCTCACCGATACCCGATGGAAGATGAGCTCAAAAACTGTTCTTTATGTCCCAATGGAAGGCATTAACCATCCACCAGCTGATCAGATTAAAGATAAAGATTTAATTAGTCGACTCGAGATGATTACTATTCATTGGACTCGTCAGATCAAAGAGGTTCTTAGTTCACAAAGCACACTAGATGATGATGAAAGAGCAGGACCTCTGGATGAGATTGAATTCTGGAGAAATCGATGTGATGATTTGCTTGGGATCAGCAAACAATTGGACAATAAGAATATCCTTACGATTGCTAAGACGCTAACCTTAGCAAAGTCTTCGTACATAGCTCCATTCATCAAACTCTCTGAGGAGATTAAAAACACTTCTAAAGAAGCCCAAGATAACTTGAAATTCCTGATCACAATGAAGGATACTTTCATCAACCTAACTGAACTTACTCCATCTCAAATTCCATCTATCTTACCCGATTTAATAAATCAGATTCGTATGATTTGGACCAATTCAAAATACTACAAGTCAAAGGAAGTGATTACTGGTCTTTTCCGAAAGGTTTCAAACGAAATTATACAAAGATGCTCTCATATTATCTCTTTGGATGATATATTTGATGGTAGAATTCATTCGGCATCCCTTCAATTGCAAGACTGCATAAACTGCTGTGAGAAATATAGAACCATCTATTTTGAGTTGAAAGAGCTTCATTTGCAGTTCTCAGATGCACCATGGGATACTGAAGACGGTAATATATTTGCTCAAATTGATGCATTTATTAAGAGATGCAAGGATTTACTTGAGGTTGGTAATCAGTATTAGAAGACTTAAATATCCAAACCGATCACAAAGAAACTTTGTTTTCTTTTTTAAGATTTGTGAAGGCCAGGCCGATTTCGGTCGTTTTGTAGAAGGTAACAAGGCCGAGATGCCAATATTTCCAGGTGTAAAGGGTCTGGAAGTTGTAACATTAATTGTTCAAATTGAGAATATTTTTGCCAAGATGATCGCCAATCTCAGCGATAAGAGATCTGTGATCCTAGATATCAAAGCGACCACATGGCATGATCAGTATAATCGTTTTTGTAGTGGAGTTAAGGATCTTGAAATCATGATGAAGAACGCAATCAATATGGCATTTGAAACGGTAACGACAATTCAGCAAGGTGTTGAAGTCCTGGATATATTTGCCCACCTTCAGAAACGAGAGGTCTGAAATGGTTCTGTAACTTATAGGGCCACTGAAAGTCTTACTAACAGCCAGCTATTATTTATGAATTTTAGGCAATTCGACGAACATTAGAAGGTAGCGCCCGCAAAATTATCGAAATGTTTTTTGAATGCGTCTCGAGAACGAGACAGGAGCTCGTCATGCGTCCTTTTACAGGACTTCCAAGACCTCGTGAATCAAAATACGCCATTAATGTTATATTCTGGCGATATTTGAGACGTCGTCTTAGCTTAAACTTAAAGGTAAGTCATGGTCAAATCCACCAACGATTAAACACCGCTGCTACCACTCCTCCATAGTGGAGCGTATTATATAAATTCCTACGCTTTTCCTAAGAACTCAATGGGATCAACAGCTTTTCTCAAGTAAGAAAACCAAGAATTTGTTAGCTAAGCAAGAAAGAAGTGAGGAGAGGAAGTGGGAAGTGGAAACGAAAGAATAAAGAGTCATAGTTGTGCAAGAGAAACCTCAGTTTTTAATCATTCCTAGCTTCCTTTTAAAGAGAGAAGAACAGCTTTGCATAAGTTGTTAATACATTAGACCAACTAAATGTGCTTGATATACTTTTATTGATCCCCGGTGACCGATTAATGGTTTGGGCACAAGAATTGGTAGTAAAAGGCAAGGAAGCACTATGAAGGGAGGAGGGGGGGGGGGCGGAGAGGGGGGAGGAGATTTAAAGGATTGGACATGGAATGCTTTGTGAGTTTTAACGATTCCATTTATATTGAATCAACTGCATATGTCTTTAGTCACTTATTCCACTTTAGCAACTTGATCTCGCCTTTTTCCTACAACCAATTGCTATCATTCTTGAAGAATATAGAGGAGTCTATGAAGAAATCTGTCTAAGTATAGAGGAAATGACTGGAAAGATGTTCAATGACTTCGTTGCTACCATTGATACGGTATGTAGAGTAAATAAATCTAACCAAGTCCGCTAAAGTTGTATGATATTTCGAAAGTTACCCTTTTGTGCAGGATCCGTTGAAAAGCTTGGAGATCCCTATTCTCACTCGAAGTATATTTAAGCCGGAGTATCTAGAGGCTACATTCCCCGGTAGTGTACTAAGTTTGACCAATGAATTGGATCAGTGGCTAAATTTGGGCATGGAGATTCCACACTACTCATCGGAGACACATAGACGCCGGTCTGAGCTGAGATATCTTCGTGAAATTGTTCTCGTATTGACTCGTGAGTATAACCGCATAGCGAGGATTCTCAATTCTGAAGAGAAGGCTCTCTTCCAAGAGCGTATTAGAGTTCTCGACAAGAAGCTGGTACCTGGTTTTGTGAAAGTTCAGTGGCCAGTCAAGTCTATGGTTGAGTTCTTCGTTAATGACACCAGACTGCATATTTGCAGTCTTCAAGTCAAGGTCGATGAGTACAAGATTTCAAACGCAGATATTAGGAGAAATTGTGAATCTATTGCTAAGACCCTCCTAATAAAGGTTGAGTCGGGCCGAATTTACGAAAATGACGACTTTAATGTGGAACAAGTAACTCCTTGGAATTTATATCCACTGAAATAGCTTCAGTAGAAATATTCCACCTTTTCTTTCCGCTTACAGATAAAACACAGAGCGAAGACGTCTGAAGCTCTAATTACTCTACATAACGAAATTATCGAGAAATTGACGAAAGTGAAGGAAACTTTTGCTTCGGAGGTAATAGAAGTTCAAACCCGCTGGTACTCGTGAGTCTACCGTTTCGACTGGCTTAGAATCAGTATACCCATTTGAAACTAATTAATATATTGTGCTATTTTTCCAATAGATACGTAGAACGTGTGGATCACTTCTGTCAAGAAGCTTTTAGATTGAATGTCAAATCTTCTCTGGGCGAATTGAGACAGGTTATCAATGGTGATGGAAGAAATGATCCCAGTCCATTCTACAGAATCATTCTAAGCTTGGATGGTTCATCCTTGGTTTTTATTCCATCGGTTCCTCAACTCACGGATGTTATAATATCGCTCGGTGGTTTGATCATTGAATCCTTTGCCGAAATTCCCCGTCTAACTGACATTTTAACCAAGAATAAACGCACCACCAAACAGGTAAGCTTTTTAGCAATCACTTTCCACGTGTATTCGGACTTCTTATTCATTTATTTGGAAAAAGGGCGATTCGAATCATAAATGTATATCATTTTGTGGTTAATGTGGGATCCGAAGATCATGGTGGAATGTTGTATTACACAGGATTAAACTTCATAGTATGTAGATTTAATAAGCTTGATAAGTACTTTGCTGTATCACTCCCGTTTTTACTTTTATTGTTGTCGGTGTTGTCTATGTATAGATTTTAATCAATTTCCGCTATAGTCTCATTTAAGAGTGAAGTTTTATTAACTAGCTTGGGTTGTGGCGAGTAGTACCAATTCTGAAATCTGATGGAAACTGTGTGAACTAATTTGCATACTTAACCGCTAGAACCAATGTTATCTTGGAAAACTCACCAGATACGAAAATGTTTATTTAAAAGCAAAACATCAGAATTGGTATGTTAGCAGGCCCATTAAATAAACATATTCAACGTTAGATAAACTTGTAGGCGCGCCTACTTACTGGGGATACTAAGGTACTTTCAGTAATCAACAATAGTGGGCAGAGGACGTGAATTCAAGATGGTGAAACATGCTAAATTTTAAGTACGAATATTATTAAACAGAGTTTACTAACAAATGAATTATAATTTACAAAAGAAGAACCAAAACAATGGCTTAAAAATTGAAAGTTATTTCAATTGTTTTTTTTATAGTCAATTGCGACATCAGTCCTTGAGAATGAGGAGATTATTAAGATTCAGGAGAGCATCAAGAAGGGTACTACGGACATCGCAAAGCCAATCCAGGATCCCCTCTCTTATTGGGATAAATTCCGGGAGATCTGGGAGAAGTCTAAAGATGAGGTCATTGAACACTATCGTGCCGTCAAAATGGAAGCTCTTACCATCAATGATGACATCGCCAGGTAAATGGATGAAAATGTGATTAATATTATTGAAGGTCTCATTTTAACATTGCAGTATAGTTAGAGCAAATTAAGGCAGAAATTATGTACTATTATACAGTATTATTATGACATAAAAGTGACATTGATAAATCGGGGGGAACGGGGGGGGGTGTCAAAAGGTACAAAGAGCAATGTCAAGGTATCAAAGGTAATTCACGTTCCAACTTCATTTTTTAAAAATTGCCCTCTGAAATGTGGCCGACGATTACCTACAATATTCGGCTCTTTATTGACCGACTTTTTTTAAGCAGGAGGGGTTGGTCTTGCCGCTTTTCTTCATTTTTTGCAATGGTTAAGAAAAGAAATGATTCTCCAAGACATTTCAGAGTCTGCGGTTTTAGCATAGCAGAGAGGGGATAAAGCATACCACAAAAATACATTATAACAAGCTTTGACCAGGACTGGAATAGGCAAACAAATCTTTGCACGTGTTTTAACTATGGCTTAACGTGAAAATCTTTCTCAACTTTTCCTTGAGGTACTCGAGCTCTCAGTGTCGAACCATATGATAAACTCCCCCCCCCCCAAAAAAAGACACGTTAAATTCAGTGTGTCGAATTTGCGTATCTAACTAGAGGCAATTGATGGCATATGTAGACAACACGGGTCCCCTTTGGGGTCTTTTGTGCCTTTTTCGCATAGTTGTCAATATAACGCTCTTCTAATTGCTGTAAAAATGAGGTAGAAAATAGACATCTATCTACTATACGGACCCCAAAAGGTCGATAAAATCATTAAAAATAATTTTCTTCGTTTGAAAATCTAAGTAAGTGGAAAATAGCCTACCATTACCACACATTCTGATATTTGCTGTCCAACTATTATCTCAATCTTAGGTTCTGAAAAGTCACAATGGTTAGGTGAATGTAAAACACTTTCTCATAAGAACGAATGAAGATTTTATCATTTACTGCAGAAATATTTAATCTTTCTGCTTTAAAGTGTATTGTTTGTTTAGATACGCTGAAGTAATTAACAAGGTTCAAGAAGCAGAAGCAATGGTGACAGTACGCTTTCTTCAATTGGATTTCAGTCTGCTCAAAAATGCCATTGCAGCCCATTGTAGAGAATGGCAAACACGATTAATTAACCTTCTAATGGAAATGACAGTAGAGGATCTCGGTGCAATTTACGATTACATGAATGAAATGACAACTAGGTTCGTGGCATGAATTGGGGGTACATTAACACGTGCTAATTAATTCTATGCCTTTTTTCTGGCCCTACAGACTTTCCCATGTGCCAGAAAATCTATCAGAACTTTCTGAGGCCATGAGTTTGCTGGAGAAGGTGCAAAGCGAAGAGAAGGATATGGAGGCTAAGTTTGCGCCAATAGAAGAGCAGTTTGCCATTCTGGATAAGTGTGAAGTGACTTATGATACTGCAATTTCTACCAGAAGAATGAATCTCTACAGCGATTGGTTAGCTTTCAAGGATACCGTTTTCAGTTGTGAGGAGGTAAGCGCTACGGATTCTTGGCAGAGTGCACAATTATTAACAATGTGTAAGAGGGGCAAAGTTCACGACTTCATGAAAAGTCGAAGTTTTGTCAAAGGGATAGAAATTTAGCTAATTTTGGAGCATCGATAGCGGTTAGAGGCGTATTTATTGATTATAAGTTAGTCGTTAATGTTGGACACAGCGAACTGACTAATCATCTGGTCTAGGGGGGGTGGGGGGAGGACGGAACCCATAAACTGCCGATAATCTTTAAGGTCGAGAGGTAATCACGTCCTGGGGACATAAATATAGCACAACGGTAAGCAAAATTAATGTATGTCCGCGTATTAATAAAGCAATAGAAAGACAACTAGTTTAAATTACTGCCTTTCTGAATACGAACGATAATTCATAACGAGAAGGAGACAAAGCAGAGAAGTGTAAAGTTGCACCACGGAGGAATAAAATAAATAGCTTCAATCCTACGTTCAAATCAGTTTTAGGGTAATATAAACAAGGATTTACGCGAGAGTACAGCTGCATTACGCCACACAAAATGAGCCGAAATTGGTTAGCTTATGTTAATATTTAACTCTACGCTAGGCTATCGCATGAAGCCATATTAAGAACTAAGAAAGATTATCGTTTACAGAATTAAATAAGACGAAAGATCTGTTATTGAGAGCACACCAAAGGTTTCTGTCTTTATCTGAGCACAAAATCCTCATTTCTACCCTTATTTCATCTCGTTCTTGTTTGACACCGTGGGCCATGAAATGAAATTAAGAAATTGGCCATTAGAAGAAGTTAAAACGAAAGTGGGGCAAGACTTATTGAATGATGCTGATTTTCATAGCCACTAATACGAGTTAATTAGCTGACTATTTCCAGTCTAACTTCAAGGAAGTTTCACTACAATACAAAATACGAGTATACGTGTTAAGTGGGGGGTTGGTGTTATTATCGAGAGTTTGAATAGATTTTTTCCTTGAAATGGGAAGTAGAAATTGTGTGTTATATAACTAAGATTTGAACTAACATTTGGCATACAAAGGTTACATTGACATATTTATAAATGAAACATTGGTACCAAAGTTATCTCACTATTAGGTTAACTAACCAGGGTCTAAACCAGGCCACTACGTTTTAAACGCTAGTTCATATAGTCATGTTTGATGTTTTCGTACTAAAATAAGCGCTAGAAACACAGTGATCAAAATTGTAAATAGTTTATGTCCACAAAATCCTGAACTGCTTAAATAACGATATTTGAATGATTTGTGGAATCCATACTAAAAGAATCTAAAAAAATAAAAACATTCTGAATATCGTATCACGCCTCTCTTAATAAAATGTTCGACTATATACCATTTTATTTGCTCAAACGTCGTTCAGTATTTCTAAGCTTTTGATTTGATCAACTCGTAGTTGATAAGAAAAACGCGAGACAAATTCAAAATGAATTTACTTGGAGATTTGGAGAGATTGAGGCAACAAATCAAGGAGATATTGGTGGAAGTGCAAACCACCAGTTACCGTGCTCTTGGCCCCCCTCCGGATGAGGCTTTAGCAGCGTGTCAATCATTCCGAGATCGACTTACCGTCTTACTGGGGAAGGAGGATGAACTACGAAACGGCCTACACTTATTCAAATTGGAACAGCCTCCTTGCAAGGAGTCTGCTCTTATTCAGAAGGTTAGTCCACTTCATTATTATATATCTTGAAGCAAATAAGTTATCAGCACTCGCCTTTTTCTCTGTAGGAACTGGAACTTTTGGAAGAAATTTGGACTCTGAATAAGGAATGGGAGGAAAATTGGATGCAGTGGAAGTTGGGCAGATTCTCCGACCTCCAAACAGACGACATGGATGAATTGGCAAGCGCAATGCTAAAAATGATCAGTCGAATCATACGAGAAAACAAGGTGAACATGAGATGTTTGTAGAAAAAAACCAAGCATTTAGATTTCATTATAAGACATGTATATTTATTACTGCAATAGCGGAAATCATATCATTTATTGTTATTTTCACACCAAATACACCAAAAGTACGAGCATGCTGAGGACACCAAACGAGGTTTTAACCGAAGCGCCAGGTGGGGGTCCTCCCTCAGCATGAAACATGTATTTCCTAACAAATTCATCGCTAGGCTTTGGGTCGATAAAGTCGGCAACGCGTCGCATATTACCATCGATTTTGTTTGGCTCAGCGAGATTTAGAAGACCACAGACGAGGGGGTAAATATCGATTTGTTGAATGACTTGGATATTATCGACGTGATTTAAATTGGGTCCTGCAGCAACCAGAAATGCGTGCATCTGTGTATCCTCCTTGTCATAGCCATGATCACCCTTAAGATCTAGAATCCGAGAGAGGGAGTCATACTTTGCAATTTTAAAATTGAACTCGAGTAACAGTTTATCAGTCAGATTTCAATTAACTTACGATATTTCGGAGGGCTAGTAAAAATGGAATATCCTCTATGTGCGATAACAACTAATGGAGGTGAACGACTCGAATTGGCATAGTGATAGTAGGCGGGAAGATCGTCTTTAAGATAAATATCTGCACCAGTTAAGTTTGCTTGGATTAACTTTGTATGCATCTCTTGCACTGTTGGACCTCCTGAACGGACATAAAAAATAAATAGGAAAAAAACTTGCCTGGTTTAGGCCAAATCCCAACAAAAACCCTGGATGGATTATCTATGTAATCTGTAGAATTTAGGACTTCATAAAGATTTACAGCGTTTTCTTTTGAGACCTCAGCCATTCCATGATCCGAGGTCAAAATAATATTCACAGAATCTCGAAGATTAGGAGTTGTATTAACCAAATGGACAAGATAGTCAACTATATCATTCAATTCTTCTACTCTATCCATCACTTGCTTTGAATCGGGTCCATATGCATGTCCAGTATAGTCTGGTTCCCTCATATACAACAGGCAAAGGGTTATTTCATCATCTTCACGCATCCAATTTATGACTTGTTCCACACGTGATTTAAAGGGCACTGATGAGTTGTAGACTAATTTGCTTTTAGTTGGAACATTGCCATTATATGAAGATGAACTTCCAGGCCAAAAGAAGATACAGCTTTTGTGCCCGAGACGTTCATTTGTCATCCAGATAGGCTCATTCTTATTGTAATTCCACCACTGAGATTCCTGAGCATTTTCTGGATTTTTGTAAGAAAATGTGGCATTTTGCTGAGGACTGTAGAAAACATTGTTCATTATTCCATGGTTTTCAACATGGCGTCCAGTTGCTGCTGAGAAGTGTGTTGGAAACGTGATTGTCGGCATAACAGGCACAAGACGCCCTCGAAAGCCTCGATTGTAAAGATCTTCAAATGCGGAAATGTTTCGTCCCTGAGATTTCGCCATATCGAGATAATCATGACGGAATCCATCCATGGATACCACGACAACTTTGTTCTGCTTTGCGCATGCTGGGTTTAGAAGAAAACAGATTAAAAGTGTGACGATTATTACACGCCGACCGGAAGCCATTATTCCCATGATCAGTTAACTTAGCAACTGAAACTTTTATAAAATTTTGATGCCATGTCACGATTGGTTGGGGCTCTATCCAATCAAAATCGGCCTAGTTTTGGGCCTGACTTGTGATATAACGATATTGGTTCTTTATCTAGACTTCTAAGATAAAAATAATTAAACGAAAATATTTCCACTTCTAAATCATACAAAATATTCCTTAGATCAGATGATGAAATAGTTTAACTAAGTAGAGTTAGGTGAGAAAAAAACTTTATTTAAACAGCTTGTTTAGTGATTACCATGATAACCCAACTGACTCTAGTCTTTTTGAAATAGAATATCAAATGGGATGTCCTGGAAAGGAGTAAAGACCGTATTGAACAATTCAGACGAACAATACCCCTTATATCTGACCTACGTAATGAAGCAATGCGAACACGGCACTGGGAGGCTATTCGAAAAGAGATTGGAAGAGATTTCGATCCCAACGATAGTAGCTTCACCCTCGAGAAGATTATGGATCTCGGTTTCGAACACTATGCTGTTTACATTAACGAACTTTCAGAGGCTGCTACAAAGGAAATGACCATTGAGAAATCAATCAATAAAATTGAAAGCATCTGGACGGAAATTGAACTGGATATTGTGCCTTTCAAGGACAAAGGTCACTTTAGATTACGTTCGACGGATGATCTCTTTACTATGCTTGAAGATCATCAGGTAAGTTTACTTTCCTCTCTTTAATTAAAAACTACTCGACAGAGCTAAAGCAAGTCTTCTTTTCTTCACTTCTTCTTAGATCCAACTATCGGCTATGAAAGCATCTCGATTTGTGAAGTCGTTTGAGCGAGAAGTAGATAAGTGGGAACGAGCTCTTTCGAGGATAACAGAAACTGCTGAAATGTTACTTACAATTCAACGACATTGGCTCTACATGGAGACCATTTTTATGGGGGATGATATTCGTCAACAGTTGCCCAAGGAGTCGAGCATTTTTGACGAACTGGATGTGATGTGGAAGAGAATTATGATTAAGATGAATGAAGTTAAAAACGCTCAGAAGTGCTCTATGATAAAAGGTAAGTTCAGTTCCACTATTATTGTAAGATTATCTTGAGACTATTTCAAAAATGTTATTTATAATTTGAGGAATCTCTGAACAGCTTAGTAGCATGAATGAGAAGTTTGAAATGATTGAAAAATCGCTTGATAGCTACCTTGAATCAAAGCGTCAAATTTTCCCGCGTTTCTACTTCATTTCAAATGATGATCTGCTTCAGATTGTGGGTCAAGCCAAGAACCCAGAAGCCATTATTCCGCATTTGAAGAAGTGCTTCGATAACATATGTATTGTGAAGCTTGAAAAGGTAATTACTAAGGCAGAATCCGAGAATTAAATGGACTGATTGATTTAAGTGAGGTATATGTTGCATTTAAGATTTACTCTTGATTCTTTATCCAAATTTTGTAGAAGACGGTTAAAAAACCAGTTGTACAAGCTACAAAAGCACAAGTCGCAACGAAGTCTCATATAAGAAAGCGAGCATCAGATTTGGTGAAAAAGTCAGAAGAGATTGAAGATCCTCTTCAGCAAGAGAATTTATCCGTAAACAAAGTCGAGTGGCCTATTTCTGATGAGCAGCAAAGTGATCTAAAACCAGGCGAGCGCAAAGAGACCATCGCAATCGCTGTTCCATCTCAGGAGCCTAGTCGCCTGTCCTCTGGTAAACTCTCACCAGGCGCTAATGAGAGTAATACCGCACGACGTCACCATTCTGGCTTAGCAAAGAAGAGTGAACTTCGTGCAAGGTACTTTGGCAGCTCGAATAGTGACAACAATGTCTCCAGAAGTGGCAGTTCCATTTCTACACACACTCTAAATAATAGCTCTACAGGTGAAATTATTCTACCATTCAGTGGTGGACATAATGCTGGCCCAATGCCTACTGGAAAGAAAGGTACAACACAAACGGTAAGCTATTCTCAAGCTGTTCATCGTCTTCTATTAGTAATTGGAAGGAAGACAAATGACTAACGTATTAGAAAAGAGTCCGCTTTATTTAAAAAAACATAAGATTGATATAATTGTTTCTTTTCTGACCCGCATTTGGATATCAATGTTCTCAATTGACAAGTAACCAGTTATTGCATTTTACAATACCATAATCGGCCATTGTGTTAACGTTTTGTCCAGATTCCATCGACCTGAGCTATATTAGATCGGTGAAAGCATTTTTTCAGATACATTTCGCTTGAAATCTTATGCTTCTTAGCCCTTCAAGGCGATCTCCAGAACACGTATTAGAATACTCTAAATAGTTGGCTACAATTCAAGAGTAATTCATCAAATTTTCTCCCAAATTATTGAATGGACTTCTATTTGTCTTTTTTGCCTTTTAAATCCTATTGCGAATTGGAAGTATGAAAAATAGACCTAGAGAGGGCACACCTTGGTGCCGTGGTTCTTGGTATATAGTATCAAGTTATATTACGAAAGCCAAGAGTTTACTGTATCCATAAATTAGGTACCTAAAAGCTAGGATTTATTTACTTTAACCTTTTAAAAAAATTCCAGACCTTTCGAGATGGGATACTTAATGTCATTGGTACCGATAAGGTTTATATGAAATGGCAGGCGTTTTGATGGTTATCATTAGCCCTTTAGTTGACTTCAGGCTTCACAGAGGGGAAGGAACATCAAAGTGAAAAAAGTCGAGAGGGGGGGGATAGAAGGGTGCTTCAAAGGTGCAAAAGAGACAGACACAAAGGTATAAAAAAGGTGGGGTGAGTACTGTGAAAGTAATCGAATATGGCATACAGTGGGGTGATGGTAGTTTGAAGTCAGAAATCAACTGCCAGTTATTAGACTTTTTGCCCTATGAGTATACGTTGCCCAGGGTGCACCACGTGGAGGTAAGTCTATCGTACACCC